GTATACGATATAATGGTTTCCTTCACTTCCTTATGAGACGCGTGTGTTGTCTGTTATTTCGTGTTATTTTAGTTCAAGTCTTTAGTTAAACCAAAACTCCATACTCTGTACGAGTTTCTCATATTTTAAAAATTTTTTACTCAATATATTAAACCTGTTTTCCAACACATATGCACTCATTATATCGTTTAGTTTTCTTCAATCTAAAAACAGTTGCAAATAATTACTTCAAATAATTATTGCTTCAATTGAATCGTCTCTTGAGACGAGAAATTTTTGTTCAAATAACTTTACGCCTCAATAGCTTTTTCGGAAACTCCCAAATCTGGTCCATTGTTTTCATGTAATTGTAATCACTTTTATTGCATTACACATAAATTATTGAAAGATTGACAAAATGCAAAATAATTGCAATTATACTACAATTGAAATATTGAATAATAAAAAGCGCTTGTTTTCAGTGAGTTGTGAATGACCCGTCAATTATCATATAAAAAATTATTAAATTATTTGATTATCTGTGCCTTAAGATAAGGGGCAAAAGTGTTTGGTTATCGGTTATAAATATTTTATGACTATAAATAGAGACGAAAAGATCTTTTTTTGTAAAGAATGTAAAATTTTCAAATAAAATACTATTTAATAAGAGTAGGTCGAGTCGAGTCGAGATATGTTTGCAACATAGGCTGCTTTTATTGCTGTATATATTCAGTGTATAACAGGTATTCGTCGTCATTCATATAACCATTGCATGGCTTCAGGCCTTTTATATCTTAACTAACAATTCAAAGCTAAAGAGGTCGGTCATCAAAGTGGGCCATCACCGGGTCGGTCACCGTATGCTCACCACAAGAATGCGTCCATACGATTACGGTTACCAAATGCTAAGGCCTTTTATATCTTAACTAACAATTCAAAGCTAAAGAGGTCGGTCATCAAAGTGGGCCATCACCGGGTCGGTCACCGTATGCTCACCACAAGAATGCGTCCATACGATTACGGTTACCAAATGCTCACCCCTTGCCAAAACTCCACACCAACCATTCAATTCAATACGTGATTTCAATTAAACAGTCAACAAATATTTAAATCATATTTTACGCTATACTAAGACTACTGGCGAAAGCGTTGACTTATTTTTTTGCTCTTTTATTCATTATTATAAACAAATAATACTATTCTCTTAGAACAATAGTCTCTTGTTTTAAAGTATAAAAACTTTTGATTGAATGCATAATGTGTAGAAAATTTCATTCATTACTAGTGTTGATTTGTTTAAGTACTTAAAGCTTAAGATTTTTGCGCCGATTTTCACCGTACAATTGAATTAAAGCTTTATTTTGAAAATTCGTAGAAATTCTTTAGAGACATGTAATTTAATATCATTCATACGATTTTCAATGGTGTTTATGAATCAATGATCATTTTTGAGCTTTCCTTTAAATTAAAGTTAAGGTGAAAATGAGTGCAAATGAGCACTAATTTAGAAGTTTGTAAAGAAATGATTACTATTTCCTTCCTTTAGATGTTAGCAAAAGTGTCGGTCCTTTCACGAGATGTACGAAATGCACAAAAGAGGCAAACATTTCATACATTTTTTAGTCTCTTTGGCAACCTTTAGGCTATTAATGATAAACATTGAGTTAAGGCTATTATTTGTTGAAATTCATTGTAAAGGTCTTCTTCCAAATGCAGTTTGTGTGCGATTTTTGTCAATAAGACTGAAAAATATGATTTAATAGGTTATTGGCCTTTAAATACTGTGAACCAAAATAAGGTTGTGTTGTATCGACATTTAAACAAATATATTTATAAATAAATTTTGCACTTAAAGCACAATAACACAGTGTTTTGAAAGTCTGAACATTTCTTTATAATTTCTTGAATTTGCTTTTTAATGATTAGGTTAAGGGTTTTGTTGACAATCTATTACGAAGACTCCCAACATTGCCAACAGCTTTCAAACACTGTTAGCATGATATGAAAGCCCAATATTTTATTAAAAATCGTTTTAAACATATTTTTTGCAAACATTTGTTCCAAATTAATATTATTTCTCAGATATTCAAAGAAATGATTAGAAATAATAGAAATTATTTCATTTGAATTGTGTTATAGGACTCGACTTTTAGAAAAGTATGTTATGTTAAGCTATTAATTGTCTGGCAAACAGTGAATGACAAATAAAGTTAAAAATGCAAAAGAAATGACACCTTTTCTTATTTATTGTATTACAGCACTAATGCCCTGAAATAACATTTATATTACTTATAAATAGTATATTTATTTCCTAAATATACATTTTATATAAAAATTTCATAATAATGCTAAAATGACAGTTAATTTTACAATTTAAATATTTAATGAATGAAAGTAAAACATGGAAACCATTATTATATTAAGCAAATCTCTATTAATATAACAAAACAATTTTGTTAATTATGTTTTAAGCGGAAACAATTTGTGCTGAGAATGTCGTCGAGTGGTCTGACATTAGTTATTTCATACAAGTATTATTACATTACAAGTGGTCTCAGTTGAAACTCACTCAACCGATCTCTTTGTCAACTTATCTTACATTTATTTAAATATCATTTTCATATATTATTCATTTCACTAATTCTTTTAAAAATACATAATATTTTTTAATATTTGGCTTTATATTTTGGATATTTAACAAGCATTTAGTCAAATAAATCGTGATGTTTAAGACCTTTGGGCTGTTATTTGGCAAATCATATGCTTTTATTCATAATTTATAAAAAGTTATTATTATTTTAGAATTTCATTTAAAATATATTTAGTACTTAAATATTTTTTAATTCACAAAATTATTAATTATATGGAATTATATGATTTAATTCTTGTTTATAATTTTCACATTCACAAATGTTGTCAAATCAGGAAATATTAATTAATTGAAATAATAATAATAATAAACTTTATATCTATTTGTGATATAATAAGGAATTATAAAAACCTTAAGTATTAATGAGTATAAATTCTATAAATTTTTAATATATATAAAAATTTAAAATAAAATAGCGATTACATGAGAACACACTATAAAATATTTTTATTACTGATATGATTGGACTGTCAATTAAAAAGGGATCAAAACTTTTATATACCTGTGCTCTGGGCTAACAGTTATAATTCGCTTCCGGGGAAGGAGTGGAGGCAATAACAACATGTATTACTTAAATATTATAATAAATTCTCTATTTATGTAACAAACCTAAACAAGATTTGATGCTCAAAAATCTCTTTTGTACTTAAAGGTTACTTTAAAAATATAGATTTATTACACGATTTGCATCAAATTTCTCTTTGAAAAATTAATTGAATAATTATTAGCAGAACATTGGGTTGAATTAACTCTAAACCAGAATAAAAAAGATCAGTAGTTGTGAGCAGTCATAGTCATTGCCTCCAACTACTAAACCTATGAATAACTTATATCCGTTTTCTATGCAATCATATTCAAACTAATTATATACCTTTTATATTAATCTTCTGTTAATTTCTTTGTTAGTCTATATAAACATATTTTAGTAAATGAGTCATTAAATAATTCATTGGAGTGTTTGAATATAAAACTCTATTTAAATTAAAAATTACCGGCACCTCCAACTAAGTCTTCAATGTGACTTTCATTTAATGTGGATTTATTATATAAGCTATTTTAGAGGTAATTCAATGAAATATATCCACTTTAAATTCTTCTCAGTTTTACATAAGTGTTGTAGACGTGAATTAAAATTTTTGTTTAAAATATTTGTAAAAATATTTCATAAATAGGAAATAATATAGAAAAAACTAATGGGAATATAACTAATCAGAGATGAAAATCATTTTGTTTTTCTAATTAAACAAGGATTTGAATGAGGATTTAGTTTGAAACTAGTTTTGATGCACAAACGGACTTAGAGTACCGCATAGAGTGTATGCAATAGTGATATAACGGTGTTGTGTGTAATTTGAGCACATTTTGTGTTTAAAAGCAAAACAATTTATCTTTCATTCAGTTCTTAGTTTTGATTCTATTTATGTGAAGGAAATAATATTTTTGAACTAATATTCAATAAAATAAATGTTTTTTATTCAAAAATCGTATTTGTATTAAAGAAAACTCATTAAATGGTATTTAGGATAACGTCTAATAAGAATATTTAACACTAAGTCTCGGTTTATGTAACGATTGTATGACTTAAGAGCCGGTTTAGTGTTATTACGAAAAAGTATGACAACTAATAAGTTATGTAAAATATTTCTCTTAACTCATTATTATTATAATTTCAAAGTGGGCTCAATTGAAATGCTTTTAAAAATTCCGAAACAATAGTTAGCAAATTAAATGCATAGACTTTATACGTGTAATTCCGTTACAAATCAATTTTGGGCTAAACTCTCAAAAGGAGTACTTTTTCTTATTTCTAAACAATCAAGAATTTTGTCCTCGATTTTAATTATTCTTTCAATTTTCAAGCCTTAACTCTATATTCAAAGGCAAAACATGTTTTATATTATATCTTAAAGTTTTCTCAAATCAAGCTAACTTTACACCCAAACCATATCAATGTACATAAATATAATGTTTCCAAATCTGAATTTTATTTTCATATCTAAGCATATAATTTCCCTTTTGAACGCCTTTTATTATTTTATATCAAAATGTTTGCAATTATGAAATCATATTTTTTAAAGTTTCATTTCTTTTCACATTTTATTTTATAAAATATTTTGTGTGAGTTTATGTGAACTCATGTATAAAGGGCTCAATCTTGCAAATGACAAGAATATCAATATTATTGTCTTTTCATGTGAATCAAAGCTAATTATGTTTATCAATGCATTACCTAATGATAAAAACTGATACTTCTTATATAAATGCAATTTTGATATGATATAAAATATTAAATTTGGGACAAATTATTATTTATGGCCAAAAATAAACAGAATATCTAAACATATCTATAAATATATTTATTTGTTTGGAAATTATTTACAAATAAGACTTAACAGTCAGTCTAACGGTATAATATGCTTCATTTAAATACAACTCCACCCAAAACAATGTAATCAAATTGAATGTATGAATGACTCAAATAAGCTGTCATTGACTGGTGTGTAAAAGTCACACAAACCTCAATTCTGTCCACTTTTACCATACCATACGAAAAGTATGAATATTTTTTTATAAGCAATCTTGTCATTGCTATTCAAATAATGTATTTTATTTAAATTTTTATGAATTTTCATACATTAACTAATAATTTACATACATATAGGAAAATTTTATATAAAACTCAAGTTAAGCTAATGGTTATGTCAAATGTTAGCAATCAATAAAAATCTGGAGGCAATAAAACTATAAACTATTAAATCGCCATTTATTTAAAGTTGATATCCATTGAAGCACAGGTTAATCGTTTGAATAGTCTGTTAAATTTAATTTACTTTTATTATTATCATTTCTTGATAAAAAGGTTATTGAAATCAAAACAATAGACAAATCTTATAATATTTGAAACTTAATTACATAAGCAATATTTCTAATCACTTAATAATCGTTACATTTTATCAATTTACAAACAAAATCATTTATAACTCCTATTGTAATTATAACTTTGTGTTGAAAACTTTATTTATTACTTTCTCTCTCTTTTAATTAAATTTTTTCATAAACATTATTTTATTTTTAATATAACTTTTATTATATTTTGTGTACAAACTATCGATTTCAAAAAATAATTCAATTTCATTTAAGGCTTTATCATTTTTCTCACTTTAATAAATAATAATTTATTTTAAAATTATTAGTAGTTTAAAACTACATTCATGAATATATTTCACAATCCTTTAAAAATTATCATATAAAAATGGTAAATTATCATTTTATCAAAAAATATCATTACGTTATTTAATCAAAATTCAATTACATTAAACGATTTTAGAAACTAATATATATTTCGCGTGTTATATCAAATGCATTTGGTTTAAAGTTTCAATGATATAACACTTTTACTTTATTTCTAAATAATTTGAATGAAAATAAAAACATTAGACATTCATTTAGACAGTAATACATTCTTATAATAAATTGTTTGAAATTCTCAGCAATTTTAAGTCTTAATCCATATTAAGCTGCTGTGAGAGCACAGGTATATCTCACACGGATTTAACAAAAACTATGATTTATCATTTCATTGATTAGTAATCAGTAAAGCATTTAAATATCTTTCGTAATACGAATCAAATGTAATATCATTTCAAATATTGTCACGTATTTGATAATTAAATTGAATTCAAAGCTAAAGGTATTAAGAAAGCTAACAAAATAAGGAAATCATAACAAATAATTAATGATTTATACAAAGTTTAAGAAATTAACAAAATAATATAATTTTCACACAAAATACGATAAACAAAAATGTGAAACAAAATATTTATATTCAATACTCCTTAATATTACTAATCTATTGATCATTAATTTCGTGAAACATTTTCACCCTTTAAAATGAAATAAAGTGCAATAATTTGGGTTATTTTCTCATTGAACTCCGCGTTTGCATTATTATTATATCTCTCTTATGATAAGAATTTTATTAATTATTTCTTTATTTTTCAATACCTAAGACACGAATGTTTCAAAACTATTCTGTAATACAATACAAAAATTTGTATACAAAATTAATTTCCAAAACAAAAAATCAATGCTTTGGAGAAATAATGATAATAATAAGAATAAAAGCAAATTATTATTTCAATAAAAACGTGTTTTAATGGAAGTTTTCTGTGAAACTACTGAAAGGGTGTAACAAATAAACCCAAAATAAATTCATAGCGAAGGTTGCATTGCTTTCACTAACTTGTCATTCATTTACACAGTTTTATATGTTTTACAAATATGTTGTTTAATTCTATGTAAAGTATCACAATTGCTATTTAAATAGATTATTGGTCATAAATGTTGCTACAAATAGATTCATTTGAATTTACACTTAATTTTTGATATATAAATTTTGATAATTGAAAATCACGAGAATGGTATTAATTAGTACGATATTAATACCCACGTCTCACGTCTCAAAACTCCCCTCACCATTAGTTATTCACTCAATGGGTTGCTATCTTTTATCAATTAAATCATTTTATTACAACAACTAAACCTATTGACTAAGAAATTCACATTAAATAATTAGCCAAAAAAGTGATTAAACTTTAATTGGTTTTATTTTTCCTAATTAATCAACAAATTTGAAATATTTGTGTCAATAAAAAAGAAAATTATGAGAAGTAGTTGTCATTTGAGTCTTATTTATGGTCAGAATATTTAAATGTTTTGCCAATTTTCTAGTCGATGTTAAAATGACATTTATCAAGAAATAATTTTCTTTATTTTTTATATAACTTATATTTTCCAAATGATTTTATTTACGATCTTAAATCGTATTGAAATTAAAATATAATTACATTTCAAATAAGACATAAGAGGCTGAGATGTGGGTCAAGGCGAGCGCTGGCAACCGATGAAGTGATCCGATCCATAGGTTTTTCTTCGTTTTTTCGCTCAAGAATTTTTGGACCAGTTTTTCAAACAAGTGTTTAAATAACGGAATGCTTTTTAAGACAACTTATAAATAAGATCTCATTGAAGGGCAAACACTTAGAAATAGCCATAAGATATGCTCTCTTTTTTTTACTTACTCCTCCTTCCGCTTTAACACAATTTTGCGATTTCAAGTAATTTCCTAACATTTGAAGCCATAATAATCATAACAATAACTGATGTGATGGTTAGATCTCACTCGAGAGGGGTTGGGCCGATAGACGTCAAAAAAAAGTGTATAACTCTATTTGAATGAATGCTTTCAAGGATTTCTCAATTAAGTTATGTTTGTACCGTAAGTTACTGTACATTACTATTGAGGACATAAATATACCGTAATGACCAAAACATTATTCTAATAAAAGTTATTCTTGAATTAAGTTGAATTAAAAAATAAGATTTTATTGCAATTTTATTACAATATAATTTATAATTCACATAAAAGGACAATAATATGAAAAACGTTGAGTAAAAAATAACAACAACTCTCATATATTATTGAAAGCTTTGAGAAATAAGCTAATATTTTGATGAAATTCTCATAAAACATATTTAACTTATATGAATAGTACTTAGTTTGTATAGTGTGTGGTATAAGTTTGTTTGATGGTATAAATATGATTTGGTTATATACAATGGCATAACTGTATAAGTGTTGTGTATTTCATGTATGGCATGAAATGTGGAACAAACATGAATTTGTTGATGAGATTGGGAATAGAGTTCATCATAACTCCAGTAATGCTAGTAATGTGAACACGACTGACCGACTTTCTGCTCACTAAATACATTGTAATTAACTATTAGACAAAAATGTAAATATTTATATCGATAATAGAAACCATAATTAACTTAAGAATAACTTATTGAATAATGCATTTATTGAAATGAATTATTTTTCTATTATATAACCAGATAATGACTTATTTATAATACAAACTCATTTCATGTGAATTCTATTTTAAACATATTTTATACGGTATTTAATTTAATGGCAAATAAAAAAGCAATTTCCAAACTAATAGTTAATACTAATACTAAATATTATGAATATTTCCACATCCAGAGTGCAATCACAATGAATTCCAATGCAAATCAGACAATACATGCATTTCAATACACAAAGTACAAGACGGCATAATCGACTGCCCGGATGCCAGTGACGAGAAATGTAGGTCCGACCAGTTCAAATGCCGGTGCGGTTTCCCCAAATGCATTGACAGACACCTCGTCGGCAATGGGGTCCTCGACTGTAAGGACGGCTCTGATGAAGGCCAACAACTGGACTGTCATTACAAGAAGCATAAGAAGAAGACTTCAGGTAAACACACCTATCATTCACTTACATACTATACTCGCGATTATTGTACTCTTCAATATCACACATATCTACTGAATACAAGCGAACATAAGTTTTCCCCTCAATTACTAAACCATTTTCAGCCTAACATATGATTATTGCTGCAAATCTGTCGTTGCCTTTACTGAACCTATCAATCACTCAATACTTAATGAATAATGTAATTAACAAAAACTCAAATCAATTGTTAATATAATACAATACAATGTAAGTCTCGAATTGACATCAATTGCTTTATATGTAAATCCAAATCACTATAACTAACACAACTAAAAGGTGTCGGTTTTGGCGAATACTAAATATGTGTTCAAAAGTCTGAATAACACATTAACCATAGACTTAATATATGGTAACTAAAGTTTGTTGCCTTATATGACAATATCCTAATATTGATGACTTGAATGACTTGGATTAGGAGACGGTATGACAGCAAGCAATGCCACTTCAGCGCAACTCTTGCATAAAGAGTCAATTAGTTCAGTCCTTTCGCCTAAATTAAGCGAATCACACATTTCTATGGCTTTCAGTTCAGATCATGTCTCGCAATCAACGCCTAACCAAATACTAGTCTCACAGCAAATGCCTGACAAACAAACTAACATTCAATTAGACGGTCTCTACCACGAGTCCCACCACTCCGTGCACTCGAGCCAAGCGATGACATTGCAGCCATCGGTGCCGTCGTTTGTAGAGCTAACCGGAACTTTCGTGCCATTCGAGCAGCTCTCCCAACACTCGGCATTCCCGGCACAACCAGGTCTGCCCGCTCTGCCCCCTCTCTCAGCTGTTCATTACTATACAAATGATGCCAAACTCACGACACAGGACTCACTTATTGAGATCACCGGCACTTTCATACCTGAAATGGAGTCTATCTTAATTAATTCAACGCTTGATAACCATAAGAATCCCAATTCAAAGCCATTAGACAAACTCAATGCAAATCATTATAACTACATAACTATTACGGGAACTAAAGAAATGTTTGCAACCAATGATAACACTTTTGAGATAATAACCGGAACTCATGTAAGCAATAAGTCTTCATATGTTTTCCTATTTGGAAACCACAAAATTGATTCAACAGTAAGTGTTAGTCCAGGACATAATGATAGCCGACACAAAAAGGACTCAATTTCTATATATGAGTCTAATTCTAAAGACACCAACAAATCAGTGACCATAAGACTCGATGGAGGGGAACTGGCAGTAGTCGTTCCCACACCTGTTCTCAAGCCTCACATCAAGAATAACTCGACAAATAATAAATTACTTTACGCTACGATTGAAACAAACGGTCAGCACAACAGAGGAGTTTTTGTAGAGGGGGTCGACTCTATCGACGTTTTTGGAGCACAAAAAGTCATGTCTAAAGCAAATCAGAGAAATACTTCTTTATTTGTGACATCACTTAACAGAGAAAAGCCTCAAAATATAATTATAAATCACAAACCAAAAGAAATCAAACCATTTGTCAAGGCTATTGAAAACCCAATTGAATCCAAATATATAGCAACTGAAAAGAACAATACATTTGACAAAAATTATTTGAATCCTAAGCCAAATGTGCAGACAGTGACTGGAAGGAGAATAGGAGAGGGGGTATCCGTACTATCGGATCAATTCATTAGTGCCAATAAAGCAGATGTGTTGACAAAGCCGTCTATAATTAGTTTGAAAGATAGGTTTATTAGCCATAATAGAGATGAGGAGAGCATTGCCTCTGCAGGCACTCCTGTGCTGAATACGGAATCGTTAGCATTGAGGAAAGCACCGGTATATACTCACTCGAAATTGGACCAAAACAAGCAAACTGAGGACACCAGCGATGGTACAGATAAAGTAAAGCAAACAACAACTATTTTTGGATTTATTGACTTCACCACAACTATTAATAACACTGAAGTTGTTTTTATGCCAACGACCAAACATGTCCAACAAAATCATCAAAAACTTTTCTCAAAGAATATTAGACCAGAATTTAATACTAAATTAAATTATAAGACAAAAGAAGCAATTTTTAAGACTTTATCGTCAAAGACATCTCTTTCTGATGACTTAAAGACTATTTGGGATGACATAAGACCTACAAAGAGTGTATCAGTGCCTAAATCTGTGTTAATCTCTAACTTATTTAATAATAGACAACAGAATACAAGAGACGAACAATTAGAGACAATTAGAGCCGTATATGACAGCAAACAAAGTCTCAGACAAACAGATAGTCTATCAATGGTTTCCAAAAATACGCAAACAGTTGACTCCTTTCAGGAAAGTCAGTCATTGAGTTCGTCAGCAGAGAGCCGACGCGTCTCATCGATTGAGCCCTCACTGTCATTGTCTTCGTCGTCGCCTCAGTTGGTCCGTCCGACCGGTCTGTTGAGCACAATCACCGGAACCAATGAGTTGGACGGTTCAGTGACTGAATGGACCACTTCAGTGATCGGCACTTATATCAGAGGCACTTACGCTCATATATTACAGAGTACTTCAAGTATTTATGCCAAACATATCGAAACTACAAAAACTGCTCCGTTTGACGACTTCAGTAATGATAGGACTGAACGACCAGTTTTCGTGGAAAGCCCTATCAATTCAGATGCATTGAGTGAATCAATTGAAATCGATTTGAGTGAATCACATCGCATGGCAATACTGCCGACGCGGGTAACCATAACCAGTGGTTTCATATTACCCTCCGTTCTCCGTTCGCCTCAATTTGTCAATCAATCAAATGTAACACCGGTTGTGACAAAAGACTCAAACCCTATCCAAAGCAGTCATAACAGACTTCTGGAGTCGAGTTTAATTGATTCTAATCATGAAAGCTATCTCAAGACGCCTACACTTGAGACCAGTGCTGAGCTAAGACTCAAAACATATTTCACTCGATTTACATATTATACAACAGTTGTAAAAGAGGGCCAAACCCTTGTTAACAGCCGTATTGAGACGTCTTCTAATGTAAAGCTAGAAGCTGTGACCGATACTCATGAGGTGCTGCCCACCCGTCCTCTCACTACTTATTATACGACTTATACTTATTTCACAACTTTTAAAAGAGGAGAAACTGAATTCGTTAGGAGTAGGGAAGAGATAGTGACTAATATTATGCAAAACACAGACAATCCTTTCCTAATATCCAGTTCTGAGCCTTTGATTACAAAATCAATAGAGCCTTCGGTTTCACTTTTGGCGAATAATAAGCTGTTAAATAGTTTAGCAATTAATCCCTCGGATGTGAACAATAATCTCAAGCCTACTATAAATCGAGATATTGAGTCAGATATGACCACATTAACATACTTTACCACTCATTTCAAAGATGGAAAGCCTAGTATTAAGAGTAGAAAAGTAGTTGTAAGCAAAACAGTAGATACAAATCAGATCCCACAGAATGAGATCCCAGTGCCCGTACATGCAGTGGTTAAGCCAAGTGTTAGTTCCAGACCTAATGCCTCATCCCTTTCAACTCCGTTGGATGAGTCGCTAATAAGTAGTTTGAATATCGCAGACCTGTTATCTGGTGTAGCGGTTCCGATAACACACTACACGACATTCACATACTATACCACATTCTTTAGGGATCAAAGCTCTAGCATTAAATCGCGAACAGAAGTTGTATCCGATGTTAAAACAGGAACTATTAATTTGGGTCTTAAGACTCCTATCCCTCAAATCACTCCAACAATCAATACATTGAAGATTTCAAACACAAGAGCTGATGATTTGGGTTCAATAAAATTGGATAAAGATTTTGATCAATTGATAGCTGCCGGCGCTGAAAATAGGCCAATTGTAATCACACCGGTTACTCGACTCTCCACTACCACTTACTTCACTACTCTTCTCATACCAGGGGAGGACTCCACTGTAATCAGTAGTACGCGAGTCCTATCTGACATATATATTCCCGGTCCCAGTGATACACTGCCAGTCCCTCTCGGTATTTATGACTACCATAGCATGAGTCTCGACCCGTCTATGACTGAAAGACATGAAGCCATTGCTGTTCACTCGACAGTTGATGACAGAGTTGTTGCCACAGAATCACTGCCCGATATCAGTAATAATCCCGAAACAGTTTTCACAACTTATACATACATTACAACCAGATTTCCAAATGGATATCCAATAGTAGACACTAGTTATGAGACATTTAGCAATTTGGTCACCAAATTTGTTCCAACACTCCTGACCGCAACTCCCGACTCACATAGTACTCAATCTTTTGGAGCACTGGTAGACGAAAGCAATCATATTTTTACAAATCAATTATTCAATCGGATCCACGAGTCTTCAATTATCACTCCATCCAGATCTAGAAAACCTATTGTCGTGACGCGAACTCGAGTTCTTGGAAGCGGTGGACTCCAACCAATACCTGCGGGACCGCGACGTCCAGTAGTTATTGTTAGGAAAAGACCGGATCAAGAGATCCCAAAACACATTCCTCTTCGCATTTCTGGACAATTCAGAAGTGAGGACAGAGGAGAAGGAGTTGAACCACACATTAGAATAGTTCCGCCGAAGGAGAGTGTCGGTCACTATCATAATGTTGAGGAGTTTAGTACAACCGGTGATGTCGGCCGAAGATTTCCGAAAGTGACTCCAACTCCCGTCACATTTTATACCACATATACATACTTTACAACTGAATTATCTGATGGAATACCTGTCGTTAAAAGTAGGGAACAACTCTATAGTACTGTTATAACAAACAAAGTTCTTCCGACCCGTACTATACCTGCCGATGCGATCAGACATAAGAGAAGTGCAGTCTTTGATGTAAATGATTACAAGAATATCATTGCAAACAAATCTGTTGACACTTCTAAAGATGAGAAACAAGACTTAGAGGCAAATCCTATGGAAGAAGTTAAATCTGATCCATACATTAAAAACGATTTGAATGAATTGGTAGTAAATAAACAAAGTATATCTTCAAAAGATTTGATGTCTGAAAATGTGTCGCAAAAAGAGGACAACCAAACAGCAGATAAAAAGACGGGAATTATTACAGAGAAGACTGAAATCAAAGGATTGCAAACATTAATCACTGAAATATATGGCACTTTAATAAATGGGATTTACGCTCAGTTTGCAGTCACCCGAACTGTTTTGGATTCAAAACCTACAACAAGTAGTCCAATAAAATCCATTTCGCTGTTCAGTGAAGAGTCTGTAGAGCCATCGTCTTCGGGAACATCAATGATGAGCTCATCTCTTAACTGGCACTCAATTATTGATTTAAATGATAATAATAACGAATCAAAGAGTTTGCAAACCAATGCGCCTATTGTTGAATCATCTGAATCTCAATTCAAACCAATAGCTCCTTCAGAGACTCCATCCATGTCTTCAGTATTAATGGAAACGGGATTGTTGTCATCAAATTCAGAGACAGTAATAAATGACAATAAGACGACTTTAGTAATAAAGCAAATCTATGGTACGTATATTAATGGCATTTACGCCCATTTGGCGAAATCGAGAACTCAACTTCTGTCTAATCCCTCATCTCTGACCACTTCATCCAAAGCTGCTTTTTCTAATTTAATACTCCCTTCCATTCAAACTAACACTATTCTGGAGCCATCGGTTGCGGTCTCTCATAATATTGATGTTAACCAAAACCAAAACCAAAATCTCTGACCACTTCATCCAAAGCTGCTTTTTCTAATTTAATACTCCCTTCCATTCAAACTAACACTATTCTGGAGCCATCGGTTGCGGTCTCTCATAATATTGATGTTAACCAAAACCAAAACCAAAGCACTGCTGTCCCGCAAAGCCACGAGAGTGTCGACCAAAATAGCAATTCACAAATGATTAGTTCAACAAATGTTGAAACTATCGTTCAAAACGGTATAACACGAACATTGAGTACAGATATTAATAATAATAAGACAACTATTTATACGACTGAAATCCGCACCACAAGTATTAACGGGCTGTTGGCCCACATCGGACACATCAGTTCAACGGTGATCGAGTCGTGGACTCCTTTGCCGGGTTTGGCTTCCGCTGTCTATTCGACCCAAACTCTAGACAATAGCATAACGCTATACACAACCGAATTCTATACAACAGAAATCAATGGATTTACAGCTCATTACTCCAGAAGTACTTCTAATATCATCGCACCTGTAGTCTCGACTGACACTCAACTACAGACAATTGAAAGCATAGCCACAGAGAAAACAAAGACTGTCAGACCATTCATTCACTTTCCAACTCCCGTTAGATTCTTATTCTCATCTAAATTAACGTCAACTTCAACTCCCGCTTCAACAGTCGCTTCAACTATAACCGCAATATTAAACCCCGACCTCTCGTCTACTGATTTTCCAATGAATAATATTTTGGACAATAGTTATGAATCGGATGAATATTATGACGAAACGGCTGAACGTGGAGAAGAACACACGCCTAGGAGTCGACCCATTCGTGAGAAAGACTCGCAACCATTGCTTGAATATGAATACGAAGATATAGAGCCCTCACAACCAACTATTGAACCCCCAAAGCCTCAAACTTTGAATTATATCCCATATCGAGGAGCTGCCAGAGCTGGGGCTTCAGTACCGACCCGAACAGCACCACAACGACAGCTCAATACGGGATACAATGCTCGACGAGCGCCGGCAGGCTTTGGACAGAGAGTGGGAGCTAATGTCCCTCAAGACGCACCAAAAGAACCTCTATTTGAATATCCTGTGAGAGATGTAGTTCCGCCACAATCCACTCAAAGACAAACTCAAGAGAGGGCTAAGCCTGGAGTAACTCGAGGGAGACGGCCTGTCATGCGAACCGAAGCCATAGCTCCTACGAGAGCTTACAATGAGTTTAAAGCAACGATTCCTGAGTACAGAACAGTAGACAGAGATAACAGACAAGAAGTGCCTGAATATGTGAATAATAGACCAGAAGATGAGCAAAATAATAGATTCAATCAAAATGCAAATCAAAACAATAGGAGACAACAAAATGGTAATAATAGACTCAATACAAGAAGGAGATTACCGCAGACCACGACTCCTGCCCCGCGAACTCATCCTATTTTGCCGAATAGAGGTCAAGTGAGACTTAATAAGAAATACAGCGGTCGACCCCGATATACACCTAACCCAACGAGAGATTCCTCAGATGAGTCGATAAGATATAGAAATGATAACAATAATGACAACAGAAGGAGAGCTCAACAAAGAGGCAGAACTCCAAAGACAACACTTTTATACCTCAATCAACCGAAGCCTTCTGTATATACCGATGAGTATTATTCGGCGACCAGTGATGTGGTGACCACTCCTGCCTTACCTAAAGTTCCCGTTACTATCACTTCAATTGTAACGACTGTTAAAACAATTCCAATATATCATGGCTTTAAGACCTCATACGCGACACTTACGACAACCACATTAAACACAAGTCTCATCCAAACGGATCAATACGAGACTTCAGTGAATCCAATCGATGGCATCACTCGAAGTATATTCACTCAAAGTCGCGATCCATTAGAGCCCACGAAAGTGACTGAAGTGTTGATCACGACATCAGTCCTCTACGAGTCTAAATTAATTCAAATCAAAATAGGATACAGTACTCGAACACAGACTTTAACAGATATTAAGACCCTGACACTACTGACCACTTCGGTCTTGACAGTAGCGCCGCCCGCGACACTCGCACTGCCGGCGCCGGCAGGCCTATCCTATCATCCTATTCGCTTTTCATTTCCACCAACTCTTTCATAACCACCCAAACCCTCACCACTACTACTGTGGTGTCCCTCTCAGTACGCGATGAGACTATTCTAAGCACTCTTACACTCACTTCACTAACCGAGTCGACGGTTACCTCAACCCAAACCATCTCTATTCCGGTGCCGATCACCCAAGCGGTTCCAAATCCAGTTCCACAACCCATTACAACTTTGCTAACTCTAACTCTGACCGGTGATGGCGGGGATATAACACAATTGGTTACTGCGGTCACAGTTCCTATTCAGCCGGTGTTTCACACAAAAGTTGAAAGGGATGTAAAGGCAACCCGCAGTCCCAGTGCCGCTCTAATGCAGCAAACGCTCGGCCCTAATCTTAACACAATCAAGACTTCTGACACTTTTGATTATATTTCCGTCTCATTCAAAACTGTTGATCAAATGATGAAAACTTTTGATCCCTTATTTATTTCAACCATTTTTAAAGGTCCAGAAACAGAGATATATGAGGCCAGCGCTACAGTGGTTCAGAAGATCAAACATAAGGATAAGGAGCATAAGGACATCCATAAGAATAAGAACTACAAAAGCAGTCAAAATAAATACGAGACCTCTTTCAAGAAGAGGAAACTCCAACAGTTCGCTCCCAATGACAACAACTATGGCTATCCTTTCAGACAAATAGACTACTCGACCGTCAATTTGAAGCCTCAAACCATTAGCCTTCAAGTGGACCAAAACGAACCCATCCCTGACTTCCTGGGCTTCGATAGTCCGAGATTCCAATCACTGCCACAATCGGCTCCACAACCCTTTCCGCAACCAGTTCTCCAGAGAACGCCCGCCTCAAGACAGCCATCGTTTCAGAGAATCCGCATTAATAAGCCATTGCCATCATCACCACCAATACTATCCACACCCCCTTCAACGCCATTCACATCACCCAATGAGCCCCAAGAACTCAGGTTTCAACGACTCGTTGGTTTGGATAGACTTCCCGAGTCTAACGTTCCCTTTAATACATCGCCCCTAAGACTCACATCTCAGGGAAACTTTAGAAGAGTTCCTGTTTTTAATAATCAAATCCAATCCCTTTCACCGCTAAGACCACCGATAATAGAGCCGACCGTTACTGATGTTTACGCGACTTCTGTACTCTTGTCGCCAACGTTTGGACCACTGGTTGACGACCAAAGACAGCCTACTTTCCGAAGAGTGAGACCAATACAGGCACAACCGCCACAACCGCCACAACCAGTCCCTAATGCCAGACGAATCAAACCTAAAGTTAAAGTTTCGTCGAGACGTCCAGTTTCAACACCACTGCCCACTTCAGTAATAGTCTCCTCAGTTGAAATCCCTTTCCTACCGGTCAGTGATATGGTAGACATTCCCAGAAGAAGTCCCGTTACAAGAAAGCCTGTTCTGGAAAACGAAGGCATAGCCTCTCCGCCATTGATTACATCGTCCAGAGTTAGACTAACGACTCCGATATCACTGAGAGAGACCACTACAGACACACCTCGAAGAGTGGTCAGAATAAGACGACCCAACCAGCCGACCAACACTAATAAGAAACGCATTGTTTTGCCCAAAAACCCTCAGTCTTTAGAGGAACTGCAGGCAAGAGGACCCGTCCCTCCACGTGATGACGAACCGCATAAGAATAATGCCGTCGATAACGACGAGTTCACAAACTTCGGGACAAGACTTAACGAAAATGGAGATAAAACTATTGAAATTCATACGCCAACCCTTCCCTTAACTTATTTCACAACATTTACTTACTTAACAACTGTAGTAAGGGGTCAACACACGGCTCACTTGACCAGAGAGTCTATTACATCGACTGTGACCACCGAGGCATTGGACAAATCAATTGTCGATTTAATACAAAACAGCGATGGAGTCATAAAACCGACAAAAGTGGTCGATTTAGGCACTAAGACCAAGGGTGTTACCACTACTATTGTTAACATGGTATCCAAAGTGAAAGTATTCAACGATGACTTATATAAAGTAATTCATTCAACAAAACCACTATCAATTGATACGACAATAACCGAAAATAATGGTCAACCCATTCACGAACCGAGTTCTTCTCATATTGTCATTCAACCGACGGCTGTTCACAAAGAAGTCGTGAATACAAAACCCATTGAAAATAATTATAAGCTTTCAGAGTTGGATAAAAAGCCTAAGAAACAAATAACAAGTTTTACATATTATTACACATTATATGATAAACTCAGTACTAAATACAGCACCCGATCTGAGGAGACCACTTCAGATGTGGCACCAAATGCTATCTCATCTCTTAGATTGGACTCAACTATCAATTCACATGGATTGTTGAGTGTTGGCGCCGGGGCTGAAACGGTTCACTTGGGCTCCAGAGAGTTGGGAGGCCTGACTACTGAAGTGAATTTGGCTCTCAATACCTATATTAAGTTCGACGGCATTAACAACGCTGTAGTCGAGCCGTTGGCCACCAGAGTATTGGATCCTCTCTCAAGTGAATCAATAGCTATCGCCCCACAGTCTGTCACTCCTAACCCATTAGAGAGCACTCACTTAAGCGCTTCCTTTTCAAGTTCCGTCACTTCTGATCCCATCTCTGGTATATCAACGCCGACCATCCCATTGGAGACACCAATCAAATTAGAGACGAGTCATACGAGAAAACCCCTGAAATTAATGAGTTCTGCAGTTGTTATTAGAGACCCATTGAGATCCAAGTTTGATGCCTTTGGCAGACCTGGAGTTCGGGTAAGAGTTAAGCCGATGCCAGAAAAGTCTACTCAATTGCTGTCCTCTACCATCGATGACATCACTAAATCGAGTGAAACGGAAGTTTTGGCCACACCTGTGATTTCGGCACCAGTTGAGGGCTTGAATGAAGAGACCACAAGTGACGTGACGCCATCCAAAAAGAGGATTGCCGTCACTTTGAGGCGTCCCTTCGGAGGCATTAGTCGAGTGTCCTCTCGTAGACCACAACGAGTTTCCGTATCGACTAAACCTCGATTCGTTGTCGTCACCAGAACCGGACCCCTGCCTACCGTCCAATCCACTGCTAGGGTTAAGATAAGTAGTCGAGTATTTAAGTCACCAGCAGTTGAGATGACAACATCACCGTCCGTTGGTCTCATCGCACCGACCACTTCTGTCAATGACAATGGAGAGACACTTATTATGGATGTGACCACATTGCCAGTCGTTTTCGGTTTGGATACCAGTTATCAAACGGTTACTCTCACATCAACTCTTACACCGCCAACCACTCCATTGCCATCTGAGATGACAGTATTTGAAACAACAACACATACCTATCCATTCACTGTTGGCGACCAAACCATTTACACCACTGTCGAGGAAACCAATTCCCGGGTGATTACCAGAACATTGGATACGGTGTACCCGTCAGACGCCGCGCGCGCCAACAAACTGACGACTGTCTCGAATGGCGTCACTATTATTGTTGGAGACAATGGTCTCGCAAATCGCACCCTTCCTTCGGGTGTTACTCTTCAGCCAACTTTGGTCACCGGAGCCGTCCATATGAAAGATGGCATTAAAACAGATACCAAACAATCAGAAAAATCTTTGGTTACACTTTTTGATACAAGAACTCTATTCACAACTTTTACTTATTTCACCACTTTCTATACGGAAGACACGTCCATAATATCAAGTTCTGAACAGACGGTGTCTAATGTGGTGACCATTCCCTACACCCATATAGTGGACAGCTCTTCCAAATCCATTTCTCCGACTGTTGTCTATGAAACATCTGAACGCTTGAGGACTGAAACAGTTTACTCGACGTATACTTATTTCGCTACTCTTTTCAATGGCAGCACTTCGACGATCACTCCTCTCGAAGAAATCAAGACGGAGTACATGACATATAAGGAGCCGTTGACTGTCACCAGAACTATAGTGCCCACCACTACAGAACAGGCATCGCTTATCACCCGAACCTACTTCACGACGTACACCAATTTGGTGACATTCTTCCAGAACAACAAACCCGTCACTTCCACTCTCGAGGAGACTGTTAGCAGTGAAGTCGTGTACACCGTTCCCAAAATAATCAGTTCTTCGTCATCAAGCTCTTCATCCATAAGACCGACGGCAGCTCTGGACGCACCAGTTTTGCGCACCCGAAGCACTTACACTACTCTAACTCATTACATAACACTCTTCAGCGGCAGTCAAACAATCCTGTCGTCGATCGAAGAAATTAGTCCAACAGTTGTGACCGAAACGTCGGGACAGACCATGGAATCGACAACTGATTTCTTACCCAATATTCAGTTCACTCATCCCTCACAAAGCGCTTCCAAACAATCTAAAGATTTGTATTCGGCATTAGTTCCCAGTATTAGCACACATTTCACGACTCATACATATTTCACAACACTATTCAGTGGAACCACTTCTACGGTGATCAGTCGAAAACAGACATCTTCTTCATTAGTCACTTTGTTTGTTCCCCATTCTGTCACATCTTCTGTTAGGCCATCGATTTCAATCGACTCTTCAGAATCTTCGGAAACAGATTTAGAGAATAGAAGCAAAACAGAGTACATGATTGAGGCGACGCCTGTATTCACAACTCCAGTGATGGCTACGGATGGTATCATCGACGAGGAAAGACTCAAATCAATTCAACCATCTTTGAGGATCGATAGCAGTAGTTATGAAGTATTTGATTCCAGTATGATATCCAAGGTATTCGAAGACCTCAAGAGTTCTGAAGGATTGACTGAAGAGCAGTTATCATCAGTGGTGGCAGAAGTGGGCGCTTCGACCACAATCCTCGACGGCTCGACTATAGTATTCTTCACGAACTTCATCCTTCCGTCCACTGCCAGCGATGGCACAGTAATATCGACCGATGCCAACAACATAGCTAAAGGTCCGGCCGGCGATTTGGTCAGTTCGCTGCTCAACAACGCAGACATGTCTCTACTCAACGATCTGTTGGCGTCGCGAATATCTTCCGTGAGAAGTACTGCTTCACCCGTTTATATAACGCCACACATGACCACAGATCCGGGATCACAGATGACTGCCATAAAGCCGGGCTCTGTGATCGAGTTGAGTGACTTACTGGACGGCGCCAATCTGGCCGGTAATATAGGCGAAGCCATTAAGGATATCGTCCACATTCTGGCCAAAGCACCCAAAGGAAAGAATGGCACACAAGAAGTGGACAGAATTAGTCCATCCAAAGAACTGCCACCACGAGAAGGGGCAGCAGTTAGCAACACACAGGACCCTGTTTATATACCATTGGGTGCTATGCATAAACCAAGTACAGCACAAACCGGCGATAGAATCACTAAACAGAGTGGAAATACACGAAGAGTTTACATCAATCCTTCGAGTACTGCAGGTTTGGAGGGAACATCTCTTCCCACTTCTGCTATCGTTTCCCAAATAGGATTCGATGCCAACCCTATTGAGAGCTCATTGGAGACCAATAAGAAAGTGCTGCAAATATCTATTGATAATCAACGGCCAACTCCAGTTCTGACCTCTAAAGTAATTAAAACTATAAATCCCATGAAAACAGCAATCAGTAGAGTGTCTTCTGGAGCCACAACTATATTCTTTACGGATTCCACACAAATGCCATCATTTATTGACTCAAATTCTCCAATAGAGTCGACAAGATATGTGACGAGTGTTGAGAGCTCTACAAGAACTCTCACTTTGACCACAACTAAGGTATGAAATGTTTTAAAGAAATAAAGGTTTTTAAAAATGTTCTCTCATTATCTCAAAATCTCATTACAGGTCTACTATACCCGAGACTCTCCACTAACCATAACATCAGTGTTGACCACAACTATTCCTCCGCGAACTTTTGTATCCACAATAATTGGCACCCGAACTATATTGGGAACGGCAGGTGAGACACAAACTGACGCAGTTGTGCCCACACAAGTAGACAAAGGAGTTGTCACCCCAACGACCACCACTCGGAGACCGACCAGAAAGCCAGGAACGGGACCATTCAGAGCACCCACAAGAGTTCCTGAAACACCCAAACCTTTCAAAACAGCCGCTCCCAGACCACGAGTGCCTTATAAGCCCCCACCGCCACCCCAGCCTCCCATACTAAGCGGTGTCAGTGAAGCGCCTTATGTTCCGAATAAGAGACCGACTGCAGCGCCGACACCCAAACCCACAACTCGTCCCAGCATTTTGGACATCGATCAGTGCAAACCTGGATGTAATGCCGCCAACAAAGAGGTTTGCAAAGAGATGAATGGAAAGTATCGGTGCGATTGCAGACAGGGATTCATTAGAAGACAAGATGACCTCATTTGTCAGGGTAGGCTATACTCTCTTTAACATTATGTGACCATTATTTGTATAAAGTTTGATGCAATTTATGAATTAAAATCAATTTGAATGACAGAACTCCAGAACTATGTGGTTGTGGTGCGAGTGATGAAAGTGGGAGAATCGGAGGTCACGTGGTTCCAGGAATTCACAAACAATAGTTCCGATGAGTACCAGAACTTAGCAAAGATGGCCAAAAATCAAGTGGACAGCGCCTACATGGGCTCAGACGTCAAGGAGAGCTATGTCGGCGCCGATGTGCTCGGCATCGATAAAGTGGCCGACGGAGGAAATGGAGTTCTCGTCAACCTTACCGTTCATTTAACTAAAAGACATGATTTAGACGAAGACCTTCTTCGAGAGAAACTGATTAAAAAATTGGAGCAAAATTCAGAACTCTTACCGAATCCGGAATACGTGTCCGCAGATGTCGAGGATGTCATCGATTTCGACGAATGCAGTTCTGAACAGTACAACGATTGTGCCGCTTCTGCTCGTTGTATTAACGAACCCGGAACCTACCGGTGCGAGTGTCTCAACGGCTACCCAGACCTCGACATCTCACTGCCCGGAAGGGTGTGCGCCTCAGAGATCAAGGGCTGTGAGTTCTGTCACGGAAGGGGTGATTGTATTCGCGATGAGTCCGGACTCAGCAATACTTGTAAATGCAACCGAATGTATTTGGGAAGAAGATGTCAGATCAACGGACTTCGTATGTCTTCATGTCTTCCTTTCTTTCCTTTTTTCTCTTCATTTCTCACATTTCCTCAAATTCTCACATATTTTCTAATCAGTGAATTCAATTCAAGTTTAGGTCAATTCATACAATCATTGCAAATAGCATTCATATTATAAATTTATTGTATGAATGAATATTTAGTCACAAAATGTTTGCAATTTTAAAGATCATTAGACTTTTCGTTATGCACTGACAAGTGATACATGAAATAACTTAAGACTTGGTTTACTTTAACAGATTGTTTTCGTTATTAACAATAACTGATTGTCATTCATGTGACATGAATAAGGGATTGACTGACAATTCTAATAAACTAGTAAATAATACAATGATTAGTCAGTTGTGACTAAAATGAAGTTTCTTGAAATAGTGTCACTAATACTATACTTAAATACTCATCAGAATTAATGAATAATAAAATATAAAACAACAGGAAATATGGAAAAATTCTCGAGTCATAGCTCACGATTGTGTTGAAGTCGTGACCTTTTTTGACTACAAAATGTTTTTAAATTTTGAAATTTTAATTTATTAACAAAAAAAATTATCTCTGAGGAATTTTCAAATGAATTTAATATGTTATGAAAGACTAGATTATTTTGAATAACAAATTAATGAATGTCTTAATTGATTGATTGACTGAATAGTGTTGGCGATAGTGCTTCCGATCGCTGCCATCCTCTGCATTGTGTCGATTTGCTGTATAGTCTACTGTTGCCGGAAATGGAGGAAACGCACAATTTCTAAGGGTTTCAGAAACCTGTCGTCGTTTGGGCCGACAGTAATCGGCGGCACTTTAGACCGGAAGGCAATGTTGGAGACATCGAGTGAGAGCAGTGATCACCTGCGGTCACACGTATATGACGGGCCGGCAATGCTTCCGGTACTGAGAATTTGATTGAACCCAGAATTTGCAGAATTTGCAGAATTTGCAGAATTTGCAGAATTAACAGAATTACAGAATTAACTCATGATTTGATGTATTGGTGAACAGAACGATCCGAATGGGACGGACTCCCAGAGGAGAAGGGAGAGTGAGCCGAGTCTGGACCGGAGCATGGGTTCGGTGGGCGGGCCGTACAACAGTTTGCCCCCTCAGATAGTCATACCACGTGCGCGGCATTCGTCTCAACAGGTAAACTATGCCATACATCGCGGACAAGTGTATATGTGGTGATCACTGTTACCATTGAACACATTGTCACCACTTGTGGCCAATCAATAATTATTTGCTCAGACATCGCATCTGTAAATAACATGTTATTAATTAATTACTGTAATTTCATTGAGCTTTTAATGTTTGGCCCTAAATGTCGGTCCACTGGCCCGACCCTTAGTGCCACATAAGCAGCAGTAATGCAACGCTTTTTAAAATAACTTTTGTAATCAATTCCTCGTTTTTCATTAAATAAAATGTTTAATTTGTCTGTTCGTTATGGTGTCGGTTCTCTTAGTATATATCATTTATAAGTCTCAATTCAATTATAGACGTATTGGTGTGTTGTTTGATTTAATTTGCATTCACACTATGGTTTGGACATTGGATTTGAGTTCATTTGGACTTTTGCATAAATGTGTCAATTCATGCATTCTCTGATTGTAATGAATGGTTAATTACTTTACAAATTATAGGGTTTCTATACACCAGAAACTCAAGAATCTATGAAATATCAATTTGTGGACAATTCAGTCCTACAAAGAGCTCATATATCCGATAGATATTCAGTCGATAATAGGAACAGATTTAAGGATGAAATGAACACTTCTTGCAAAATGTCTCACAATTCATACAAAACTAAGAATAGATACGCAAAGAGAAGTGATTTGCGGACAGAAGACGATAACAAAAGCGCGGTATAACTCATTGATGGCAATCACTTCCCATCACTATCTGACCATTCATTTGATAATTTAGAACTCAATCAAGTCTTCATCGGTGGTAAGTCGGCGTCTCTCCCATTATACCAATCAAACTGATAATTATGGACATGAAAACCCGCGCCAAGTATTTGACAAATATGACTGGGACTGGAGGTCTACACAAAAGCAAAGGCATTATGATTATCACGTCCGACCTAAGAGTGAATCCGATTTAAGGTATTCTCATGATTAACATTATTTCACTTCAAAAACACTCTCAAAGACAATCAAATACCACAATATTATTAAATACTATAACTCATAGCCTGCAGTAGATTGTCATTACAAATTGATTATACTTTTCAAGTATTTATTAAATTTAAACCTATACTAGTATTTATTTGTTTCTAAATATACAGTAGATAACTTATTTGTTAGCGTATGCACTTAAAAGAATTCTTTTTAGAGTAAAAATAAATGAAATATTTAAAATTTACCATTGTTTACTATATTAAGTGATCATGTTATATTATACATTCATATAATATCTTACTAGTACACCATAATATGGTATATTATACCGATATACCATACAGTACTATATTATTCTTTAGCAATTAAATAAAACATGATCTTTTGGCCATAATTAATTTCGCTATAATAATTTAATTCAATACTTACTAGTACACCATAATATGGTATATTATACCGATATACCATACAGTACTATATTATTCTTTAGCAATTAAATAAAACATGATCTTTTGGCCATAATTAATTTCGCTATAATAATTTAATTCAATGTTAGTATTAGTTAACAATTAATAATTTATACTAAAATAAACTATACTAAAATATTCCAGTTGATTCCAAAAATAATACAATGGTTAATTTTTCTGATGTCAATCAAATATCAAGCAATTTGTTGGCATTAATATACTGCAGTATTTATGGATATAAAAAATTAATTAAATTGATATATTATATAATGTTGAACTTTTACTTAATTCTTAAAAGACTTAATCTTTTTAATACAAATATTTTATTAACTAAAAAATAAAACATTTATTCACGAAATTAGTAGTGTCATTCAGTATTAATGTGTTAAATTAATTTGTTTTATTACTGAAAAAGTCACTTTTCTTTTTTTAATGTTAATTCCTATCACAAACATATTTAGTGCACAAATCCTTGCAATCTAAGTCTATAACATAATACTGTATACAGAATATTCTATAGACAGGTCTTACCTTTATGTGTGGGCTTACGTTTCATTGAGATTAATTCAAGTAAAAAAGTTCATTCAAACCTCTGACCACTAGTGTAGACAAAATAGTTAGCCATAAGGATGTCTCATTAATTTATGAATCAAATGACAATCCGAAAGTCGTCTACAAAGTACTATTATTATAACTTCTTCTCAGTCTCGTATACCTTATGTGTTTCATAATGGGTATGATTGTTAAAATAATATTCACTCGACTCCCTCTCCTCCTTTACATACAACCCTTGCTTATCAAATGCATTTACAGTTCAAATAACATTAATTCTGGTAATTAAGAGATTAGTAGAGACTGTACAAAGAGTCTACTAAATATAATTTTTTAAAGTAAAGTACGAGACATAATATGGAGATTTTGTTTCACATTTGTTTCACATTGTCTTAAGTATGTTTATGAAAAATATTTGTGACTTTGATTTCCATTTAAAGCATCTCTATTTGATTGTAATGATGAGAATAATCTAAAATAAGAAACATTTATATAATAGAAACCCAATCCCAATCCCAAAATCAGGAGCCGGTCTCGCATTCAAAGAGATCATATCGGGTTCGCCCACACATGCACTCAGCAATGGGTTGACGGCAAACTCCAGTCATAATGTAAGCAACAAATTCATTGGACTAATGGATTCAATATTCAGAGAAGAGATTAATTTCCTTTCTAATCGTAAACTACTTAGCCTGCCGACACTTCCTCATCCGATACTGTCGCGGCCGTCCTTATCCAAATGTTTACTGAATAAAAGTAATTTAAGGTGAAACACGACAAGTCATCGCAACTACGTCCGACCCAATAATCAAGATTTTCAATTATTTTTCTAACTTCTAATCAAACTTCTATCCACTTTCAATCTTATGTTCACCATGGTTCCCATTATTGTATCAAGTTTCATGTTTGCTCCAATATTTAATAATATTATTATTAGGATTAAGTTTTTATTTAAAAGTTTTGTTATTTAAATTTTATATTTTTTAATTAATTCTTATATAATATAATATAATATAATTTTAACATTTATAACACTTTATGTCATATGAAATACGTGTACTAATCGTATAACTGAAAACAATATGTTATAACTGAAAATGAAATGCTAAAAATGTTGTTATTTAATTATTAAACGTATGTGTGGTTCATATCTATAATGAAGTGAATGTATAAAAAAAGGTTACGGCATCCAAAGGCTTCCTTATTTGTGTGCCATAAATATATTGTTAGTAAATGTAAAGAATATTCAAATAATTAGAAAAATTTTATTTACTTCAATAAAAACGTCTGAAATATATTTGCGTAAAGATTTTTAAGTTGAATATCAATCACACGAATGAATGCAATACTTAAAAAAGATTTACTTTCTTTCAATAAAAGTGTGCCTTACTTTCCACTTGCCTTTGAATTCCAGGACATAAGAAATCTCTTATTTTTGTCATCAATGAACAGTCGGCGCCAGAGATCGGATTTAGCTAATACTCACTCAATACTATTTGTGATGTATTTTACACTAAATTAGAACTGAATTCCAGTGTATTTTCAAATATTAATTGTATTTGTCAACTCAACCCATGAATGAAACATTTTTTCAAAGTGTTTATTAAATATGTTTTTTGTGACAAATACTACAAACATGTAAATTACAAACTGACAAAAGAATCAATAAGAAAACATTGATTAATTAGATTATGTTATTTATATATTTTTATTCAACAAATAATATCGAAAAATGAGTTTCAAAACGAGAAAATAAATAAAGGAATGTATTTATGTCTTCAAATGATTTCATTATTCTATGCTTTATATATGTATAAGAAATTCCAATCATTTCTCATGTCAGATGTCTTCTTCTTATCCAAGATTTTTCAAATATTACATCATATTTTCGTCTCAAATTGTGACTAAACTCCAACTGAAGTCGTATTTCTGTAAATAAGAAAAATTATTATTTTTCTAATATAAAAGAGAAACTATTTGTCAAAGTATTCATGAATATTGTATTAGTTTTATTTGGGCGCCTGTCGTCCTAAGAGCGCGGGTGGATGTTATAGTCGCACAGAATGTGCTAATACTGTCTTAACTCATGGAACCATCTCTTAATAAGTTGTCTCTCATATGAACCCCAGACTATCGACTGTAAGCTGTGAGCACATCATCTCTTCATAACTTATACTTCTGTAGACTTAAATCAGTTGTTGTAATGTTGTGAAGGGTTGGGGCCCAGAGGTATATTAACAGATAAACTTAGTATTTACGAATTATTTACGAACTTTGTAAGCTGAGATACGAACTTTAATCATGAATATTTACCCTTAATTAGTAAATTACTACAAATTAATTTAATTTAATTGTTTAAAAATAAAAATATATATATAGATAAATTTATTATCAAATTGTATGAACATTAAATAATTTAATTATTCTCTCGGAGTAACAAATTTTCAATTTATTAGCAGAGCAACAGATTTTTGTCTAAGAATTTAAAACTTTTTATATCTAATATTGATTTCTATTTTATTTAATCAGAAGAAAATCAAAATTTATTAATAATGTAAAATAATCCAAATGCATTTATTTGCATTATGTTTCTAACTGTATAATATTTATACTGTATATTCTTTATGCTTTTAAATGTATGATTGTAGAACAGTATAGGATGTCACTGATACTACAATTAAATATTGAAATTTAAACTCTAAATAAAGTATAGGATGTATTTTATAAATGTTATCTATTATCATACTGTACTATAATACAAGTTATAATATTCTGTATTTTATAGTAAGCTTATAAAGAATTTATATTATAACTTATTCATAGATAAAATCTCTGATTTGCATAAAAAATAATAAGTTATATAGATTTATATGTATAATAAAATGGCTATTCTGAAACTAATATAAAAGTTGAATGCTCTAATTTGATAAAATGTAATAATATAGTTATAATAATTTCAAAAGATTGTTTTGCGAAATGGTTGAATGAATGTGAATGGAAATGATTGGATAAATGAAGTGATTTGATACTAACATGAGAGGGCAATGGTTTCCAACATAGCCGGGCAAAGAAGTGTTGGGGAGTCGATGTCGAGAAGTAGATCGAAAGCAATGGTCACAGAGTTGTCGTGTCGGCCACTGGAGACCAGTCTGACAGCTGTGTTACCGCAGGCGACTTCAAACTTATGTTTGGCTATTCATAACAAGCATCAATCAAAATATTACTATAAATACAACTTATTTTGATTGTATATATTTCAATGGATCACTCATTCACTCACTTGGAATTGAATCGATTCCACAAAAATCTTCGGCGACAGCCATTAGGTGGGGGTCGAGACCATCGCCTCCAAGTATTTCTACGTAATCTGTTAAACCTCTCTCTTTACACTGTATTAGTATTTAAATAAATATTAAATATCATTACTTAATAGCAACAAAAAATGACTAACCTTTTTAATTAATCCAGTTTCGACCTCAAGAAGCTGTGGTGATATACTTAAGTCAGTATTTGTTTTGTTTTGTGGGCCTATACTTAAGGCGAGAACACGAAAACTTTCGGGAAATATGATAGAAATGGTGCAATTGATTTGCTGCCCGTAATTCCTTAACGTGTAGACTCCCTGAGGATTCTGTAAAACTGCATTACACGCTGTATTGAATAAATGAACAAAAACTTACATTAGTTCAACCTCAAGTTATACACTATAGCTAGATAATTTTATTATTTGGAAAATAAAATCAAAATATTCAAGTGTTTGGTTTGAATAAATTAATAAAAATAAATTTTAAAATAACTTTTTTGTACTAAAATCAATTAACTGCCAACTTTTATTTTCAATATTTACTTAATATAAATTGTACTGTATGCTTTGAAATTCTTAAATACACTTATGTGATATATTGAAGAATTTGTACGTCTCCCTATTTATGTATTTAACGTAAAAATGTTAGTCATTGAGTTTACAAAAAAGTGATTATTTATAATAATAAATATCTAAATATAATTGGAAAGTGTTTTGTGAAGGCGTTCAGATCATCGATAAGAATGTCTTTGCGTCAACTCTATTGTCAGAT